TCTTTTCTTCTTCCCCCTCCCCCACGCTCCACCTTAGTGGACAGTTCCAGCCCTTGGTCCAGCTGACTGCCTTAGTTATCTAGTGCTGTTATAACAGAAATACCACAAGTGGATGGCTTGAAGGAGAGAGATTTATTCTCTCACAGTCTAGGAGGCCAAAAGTCCGAAATCAGGGTGCCAGCTCCAGGGGAACTCTTTCTCTCTCAGTCAGCTCTGGGCGTTGTCATCAATCTTCCTCTGGTCTAGGAGCATTTCAGCACAGGGACCCTGGGTCTAAAAGATGCACTATTCTCCTGGCTCTTGTTTCTTGGTGGTATGAGGGTCCTCCGTCTCTCTGCTCACTTCTCTCTTTTATATCTCAAAAGAGATTGGCTTAAGTTGTAGATTAATCTTGTAGATTGAGTCTACATAACTGCCACTAATCCCATCTCATTAACATCATAGAGATAGGATTTACAATCCATGACACCGACTCCTTCCCTTTATGAGAACTGTGCATTTGGAATTGTCTTTCTGACCAATTTGTTCGTTCATTCCCTCTAGGTGCCTATAGTATTAGGAGAAGCTAGTATAGGAGAGAGGCAGCATAGACTGGTGGTTAAGAGCCCAGATCTTCTAGCCAGAACCTTCTGCGTGTGTATCCCAGCTCTGCCACGTAATTAGCTATTTTACCTTGGGCAAGTTACTTAAACTTTCTGTGTCTCAGTCTCCTTATCTGTAAAATGGGGGTGATAATAGTAAATAGTACTTACTCATAGGGTTGTTATGAAGATTATTGTATGAGTTAAAGTCCGTAAAGTACTTAGAGCACGTAATGGATGTTTGTTAACATAAATAAAAGATCTATAAATAATCGCAATATAAAGTTAGATCATGATCCAAAAATCAAACAAAACCCGTTGCTGTTAGTGGATTCCGACTCATAGTGACCCTATGTGTTACAGAGTAGAGCTGTGCTCCATAGGGTTTTCTCAGATGTAATTTTTATGGGAGCAGATTGCCAAGCTTTTCTTCCTCGGTGCCACTGGGTAGGTTTGAATCACCAACCTTTAGGTTCGTAGTTGAGCACAAACTGTTTGTGCCACACAGAGATCTTCTTAGACCATCATTGTTGTTGTTAGGTGCCATCGAGTTGGTTCCGACTCATAGCGACCCTATGTACAACAGAACGAAACACTGTCTGGTCCTGTGCCATCCTCACAATCGTTGCTATGCTTGAGACCATTGTTGCAGCCACTGTGTCAATCCATCTTGTTGAGGGTCTTCCTCTTTTTTGCTGACCCTCTACTTTACCAAGCATGACGTCCATCTCCAGGGACTGATGCCTCCTGATTACATGTCTAAAGTACCTAAGACGATGTCTCGCCATCCTAGCTTCCAAGGAGCACTCTGGCTGTAGTTCTTCCAAGCAGACTCGTTTGTTCTTTTGGCAGGCCGTGGTATATTAAATATTCTTCGCCAACACCATAATTCAAAGGCATCAATTCTTCAGGCTTCCTTATTCATTGTCCAGCTTTTGCATGCGTATGAGGCGATTGAAAACTCCATGGCTTGGCTCAGGAGCACCTCAGTCCTTAAAGTGATATCTTTGCTTTTTAATACTTTAAAGAGATTTGTTAATGCAATGCGTCGTCCGATTTTTGAGTAATCATTCCTTATTTGGGGGTATTTAGATTAATTCAATTTTTCGCTATTAAAAATAGAACTACTATGAAAATATTTGTCAAATTGCTCTTTTCTTTTGATTCATTTCTTTGGATTGTGTGAAGATAAGCAAGATTATTAGGTCAAAAATATGCAAGGTTTCATAGCTCTTGTCACAAATTGCCAAGTTGTTTTCTAGAACAGTGATTTTCAGCAGACGGGGAGAGGGTATGTGTAGTTTGAAAAAAACATATTCAATATTTTAGTTTAATTTTGTATTATAAAATTATTGTTTCATAATACAAACTACAGAAAAAAACTTTAAATCTTGTTGGGGAAGGGAGGGTAATTGTTGAGAAACACTGCTCTATGAAAACAGTTGACAAAACTTCAGCTTATATTAAAAATTAAATTGTATTCTTTAAGCACAGACTGAGTGACTATGGGGGAGACTGAAGTGCCTTAGGTGGGTGAAAGAAGCCAGCTTGACATTGGGAAAGTTTCCGTCAATACTCCCAGTGAGGTTCGGGCATTCTCTTTGCATTTTGGATCAGTCCTTCTCTAACTTCCATGTTCATACTAATCACCCGGAGATCTTGTTAAAATGCAGATTCTGATTCAGCAGTTCTGGGGTTGGGCCTGAGATTCTACATTTCTAACAAGCTGCCAGGTGGTGCTGATGCTGCTGGCCCGGGGACTGTAGTTTGAGTTGCACGGTTTCAGATCTCGTCCATCCATAACCTATAACCATAAGAGTTGACTGCAGGTGGTCCTTGGTCGGTAACTTCAGCGATTTGAAAGTGGAACATATGAACTGCTGGCTTATTCGAGGGCTGAAACAATTTTGCTCATTCAGAAATTTGAGGAGTTCGGGAAGGGTAAGAAATTTGTTAACATTGGATGTGTTAATCATGAGAAGTTTGATGTGCCATTGACACCAGGTTGTTCAGAGACTGAAGAAGGTAAGAACGTTTGAAGTGGTACTCAGGTTCCTGCTGCTTAACTGAAAGTGAGATAAGATCACATTCGTTAGGAAACATTTTTTCAAAACAGACCCATTTATTTTGACTAGATGAGGCTGAATGATAGTAGGAAGATAGATTCATTGTATTTTTTTTAGAGATCCACTGTTTTAGAAAGTGAAAAGCTGGCTGCTTACCATTTTGCTTACATTGTTGCTGAGATTTTAAATAATGCACTTTCATGTCACCCTTAATGATACAGAATATTTCCATTAATCGCTTCCCACAGGGAAAATGAAACTAGGGTCCTATGATATTACCCTGCTTCTATCTCCATTTTGCTGTGTGGCTTTAAGGAAATCACTTAAACCCATAAGTTTCGAGTTCCCATAGTGAAAAATGGAAATCAAAGCTCTTGCCTTGTTCCCTGTAGAGTACTTACTGAAATCAGTGGGCTTTGAGGTAGACTTCAATTGCTTAAAAAAAGATTTTAACACTGTACTATTTTATATTTATTCAGTATATTAGATATAGGCATATCTCAAACTATTTTATAAAAGATCTAAAAATTCTGGCAAAACCTTCATAACAAAAATGAAACGTATAATAACACCAGCAATTAAATTGACCTTTTGGCCTGTGTCGCAAGTCCAATGAAACAGTTTAGAGTGTTTTAAATGCTTTTATTTGCCCTTTCGATAAGCAGTACCAATGAATATTGATTAAAGGCATAGAAATTTAACTCACATATTTAAAGACTTTTAGCTCTGACAGGAATTAATGGCAAATGTGCTCCATTACTCAAGCACGACCCTCTGTTTGGAATGCTTTAACATCATCTGTTCTTGTAAGTTTAAACACATTGATTTTAACCAGAGGTTACTAGAGGTCCTAATCAAAGATCTAATATTGACCCAAACTTGTGCTCAAGAATAAGAGTCTGAAACTGTGTTAAATAAAACCCTGTTGACTCAGTTCAGATTCATAATTTGAAATCATTCACTATAAAGTTTACTTTACCTTTTCTGTGAAGTGAAAGTTTGCTAGGCAAATGAAGTTGTACTACCATATATACTAAAACATAATAAATAATATATACACATTACAATGTGGGGATCAAGAGCTGGGGCTCTAGAGTCAAACGGGCGTGATTCAAATCCCAGCTTTGCTGCTTGTCCTCCGGTGTGGCTTTGGTTACTTAACTTCTCAAAGTCTTAGGTTTCCTCATCTATAAAATGAATCTCACAATATAAAGCTTATAGGATTGTTGTGGGATACAAAAGAGATAAATCATGTAAAACTCTTGGTGTAATAGAAATATATTATACAGATACATAATGTGTATACACCCTGAGTAATGGGGGAGAATGTTTCCTCCATCTAAAATGACAAGCTACTTCCAAGTACTTCAGCGGTACTCCTTTTTATTCAAATTACTATTATATTATAAAAAATAAAAAACCAAACCCATTGCCATTGCGTTGATTCTGACTTATATCATATTAATATCATATTATAAAAAAAACCCAAACCCCTTGCTGTCGAGTCCATTCTGACTTATTATATTATATATTATATTAAATCTGTTGCCGTCAAGTCCATTACGACTCATAGCCACCCTATACATCATATCATATGTCATATCATATCATATGTCATATCATATCATATGAGCCTTGGTAGTGCAATGACCAAGCTGCTAACCAAAAGGTCGGTGATTTGAACCAACCAGCAACTCTACGAAAGAAAAAACCTGGTGATCTGCTCCCATAAAGATTACAGCCTAGGAAACCCTACGGGGCAGTTCTACTCTGTCCTACAGGGTCAATATGAGTCGGAATCAACTTGATGGCACACAAGAAAAACAACAGGAACATAGTATAATACAAACTAATATATAGTAATACTGTATTACTATATAATAGTAATATTATATTACTATATTATTAATATTATAATTAATGTTACTATTTTTAAGTAGGCCTGACAATACCTTAACCCAGTAAAATGCTGTTTTCACTTTAATGGTTTATATTACTTAAAAACAATAAGACTACGTTTTGTTAAAGCTGTTTAATAATTCACAGTTTTTACCAATTACAACAGGTTCTTAGTTTCCTTCTGTCCAGTCTTTCAACTGGACAAATTAGTGTGAGCTAACCACATTTCAAAAGAAAGAAAAAAAAAAAAGAAGGCAGACTTGGAGCTGTGATTAGGCAGATAGAATATTTATACAGCAAGTTAAATTTGCCTGACTTTTCTTCCTATGAATGCAATGGTGCCATACATGTGTGTCCCAGTATACGTAACATTTATATATAATGGTAAGCTCCAATTGAGAGCATCCATTGTTCTTTTGGAATTTTTCAGTAATGGAAGTTTATTCTTTCACAGGTATCAAGGTTACATTTATACATACCGAGTGTCGCAGACAGAAACAGGTTCTTGGAGTGCTGAGGTATAGCTCTTTTATTTATTTTTGCTTCTGTGGGCATCAGGGAGGTGTTTGAAATTTAGACTGGTTTTATAAAAGGGCAATCAAATCATACATTACCAAAATATTCATCAGATTCAAGTCACTAAAGCCCCAATCCAAAATTGTTCATGGATCATTAAGAAGCCTTGAGGAATTTTGGTCCCAGTCCCGTCCAGCCACCTTGGAACAGAGTGATCTGACTTTGGGGGAAAGATTTACAAAGCTGAAGGATTGTGTCAAACTTTCAGTGCTTATCTGAAATTTTAGAAAGCATATCAAATACCAAAAATAAATGGAATGATTAGATTGGCAATTATTTGCTGAACGATACTAATATGAGTGTTGGTGCTGTGGGGTGGGGGTGGGCGGGGGGAGGAGATTAAAAAACATGACTCGTATATTCTAAGAGCCTAGTATCCTTGGGGAGATCCTAGCAAGAGGTGGACCGGGGTCCCAAGTCTGGTCTCCCCACCTTTCCCTGCTAGCTTTATGACCTTGGGCAGGCAACTTAACTTTTTTGCGACCCAGTTTCTTTATCTGTAAAATGAGCGTAAGAATAGTCCCTTACTTATAGGGCCCGTTTTGAGGATTAAATGAGATAATGCATGAGATAAAGGAAGCTCTTAGTCACATGGCCTGGCATGTAGTAAGCCCTCAAAAATGTGAGCTCCCTAAAATTGCTGAACAATGTACGGTTTTATATAGTCAAGGGCCAAGTTAGCTAGCATAGGAGTTCAGAGAAGGGAGGGTTTTCCAAGGGTTGGGGTAATCAGGGCTGCTTTAGGTGTGGAAGCAGGACTCTGAGCTGAGCCATGTGGGCAACACTTGGATAGGTGAAATAGAGACGAGAGAACATCGCAGTGGTTTTGAAACTGTGCTCTGCAGAAGCCTAGAGTTCTTCTACCTGGGTGCCTTGGGGCTACCTGGAGGTTGCAGAGGGAGAAGGGGAGGTAAGTGGGTATGCCTTTGGTTCCCAGCCTGGCTACAGTCTGAGCAGTTCCCTTTTATTTTGCTTATAAACTGAGACTCTGAATAGGATTTCATTAGAAAAAAAGGGTTCTACTGCTTTAAAAATGTTTAAAAGCCACTGTACCATTATTCCAAGAAATGCCCGTAGAGTGAAACTGTTTTCACGAACCAGGGTAGTATATCCTATCTTACCAACGTAGAAGTCTGTACAATAAAACTTCGACCTCAAATGCTTTCTCTGGTTTCTGACTCTTTAAAACAGCCTGTCTTTATAATGAAAGTACTTCATTATGAGTCGTTTGAAAACACAAATACGAATCAGCCCTTGTTAATATCTCGGTCTGTCTATGCATTTAAGGAACTCTAAAGTCTAGACGTAAAAAGAATTAAAATCGCTCTATCCTTTAAAAATTCATCTGTAAACTAAAATACACAAATTTGGACTACAAATATTTTGAACTACTAAGATGAACTAGGGCAAGGTTTCAAAAACCTTGTCGCTTTATATCAGGATAATTAATACTGTAGTGCTAATTAGAGGAAAAGCGGTACCATGTCTAATCAAAACTACTTATACCTGTTTAGTTTTTTTTAATTCTCTGCATCACTGTTGAGATGATTGAATAAGAAATTAAAATTCATTTATTATGGAGAATATTTGTGTGTACTATATACATATATACATATGACTGGAGCCCTGGTGGAGCAGTGGTTAAGAGCTACGGCTGCTAACCAAAAGGTCGACAGTTCAAATCCACCAGCTGCTCCTTGGAAAACCTATGGGACAGTTCTACTCTATCCTGTAGGGTTGCTATGAGTAGAGATTGACTCAATGGCGGTGGATTTTTTTTTGAGTTTTTTTTTAATATACATATTTGTATATAATTTGACCAGAAATAGACCTTCTCTTTAAAGAAGTAGCCTTCAGCTCCTGAAGAATATTCTTTATGGAAAGGATCTCAAATTCTTAGGGTTTAGCAACCTGGTTTTTAAACTTGCTTTTCCCTGTTTCAAGGGTAACATCATATGCAGATCGTTCCATGCGTTGTGATCATGTTAAGGAAGACAGGGTTTATTGAACATAAATGCCCCCTCATCCTATTGTCTGGTCTGACCCCATTTATATAGTAATATTGCAATTATCTGCACTAAGAGAGCAGAAGATTGGCATGGATTAGCCCCAGATGGAAAACAGTTCAAAGGACTCTTCAGATTTATTTTTGAAATGCACATTGCCTCTTTTTCCATCTACTAAATTTGCCTCCTCAGTTACGTTTTGCTAAGGTGAATATTAAACTGGTGTGTATTCTCAGAGCTCATACCACCTGACTGGAAGAACTTTCTCTAGAGCATATTGAAGACCAGCTGTGATCCAAACATGCTTTCATGGATAACTAAGAGGTGACAGTATGAGAAATGTGCAAATTTGAACAATAGTTGAGTTTAGTGACAGGATGGGAGTTGTCAGTGATGCAATTCTTGTGGTAAAGCTATTTTCATAGTTGGATAAATGATAGCTATTTATACTGCCTTTTGGAACAATGCTTTGGTTTGCCACTGCAGGAAAAATCATGGCAGTAGCACTGTGCTGTCTGCTCAAAGATTATGCTAGAAATCGAGGGAAGTCTGGAAGTTGTTGCAAAGAGTGGAATGAAAATGATCCCTGGATCGACTGAACTATGAAGGACAAATATCATATATTGAGTTTTAAATAGACTTTTAGATTTGATCATTGCCTAGTGCATTAACTTAGTCATGTGTTTGAAGCTAAAATTTTGCTATATTATAATTAATTCAGAAAATTGTACGTACAGCCAACTATCATATATTAATATGTGCATTGTCAGCAGTACATTTTTAACTCTAGGCTGACCTCCCCCTGCTTACTTCAGTGCCTTTGGGCTTCCCTGGGAATTTGATTATCAGTAGATGCTAAATAATTTTACTTATTACTCTAAGCAAAACACCATAAATTTAGGTCAGCCATTTGCCAATGAAATGTTGCATTCCAAATTCATATTGCTTTTATACATCCAGTGCTATTATTCCTCTCTGTTAGCATGGATAATCAAGTGTTAACTGCGTATCAGTCCCATAAAAAAGATGCTGCTGTTGATAAATGGTTTTACAAGCCACAAGAATAGCTAAAAAGCTGTGTGGTTTGAAATATTTCCACACTGAGGGAGTGTATAGTTTCTATTCTGGTCGGTGACTAGCTTTACTAGAACCTGTTTAGTGCAGGCTCGCTCTGAAAGGCAAGAGACCAGGTCCTGGGATCAAGTGCCAGTTCTGCCCTTCGTTATCTGTGTGACCGTGTACAAGCTAATTAATCTCTTGTACTTTCATTTTCTTATCTGTCAAATGAGAAGAACTGAAATAGAGGAAAGAGATGGGAAAGTGCTTTGAAAATGAGAAAAATGCTCTAAGGAGGGCATGAAGAGGCATTTTGTGCCTATAGCCTACCTTTGCAATTTGTAGATGCAATTTTGGAGCCAAAGAACTGTTTGGACCCCTGCAAGAATGGCCAGGGATTATTTCGGATGAGATCTCAATAGTTTCAGGAAGATGTTTTGACCATAGGATGGGTGGAACAGTGTTCTACATCTACTGAGGCTCCTAGCTGTGTGAGTCTATGGGTGAACACTAATTTAGAACTAAGAACATTCCATTGAGACTTTTGCATTGTTTTCCATGAAAAATTATATACTCCAATGTAGGAAGTGACCAAGACTTACTATGAACAGTGTGCTATCTCCAGCTTTTAGTCTAGTTGACAGAAGTCTGCATGCCAGCCTTCACATTTCCTCATTAAATGCTAAAAAACAAACAGCTTCCACCTCAAAAATCTTCCAGGTGGAAGAGCTGAAAAACAACTTTCTAAAAAAACAAGTCATTGTTCAATGGCTCATAGCAATACTATTTTATTTCAAGTAAAATGACAGTTTTGAGTTGACGCCTAAACCTTGCCTCATAAGCTCTTGCAGGAAATTGTTGTTGCAAGTGTCTTTGCAAGAGAACAGATGTCAGGAAAGGAATACATTTTAATAGTCACCTGCAAATAACGATCTCTTTAAAAACAAACAAAAAAATAAAGGTGACCTTATAGAGTCTTTTATTTTCGTGTCATAGAGCAAATCTCGTCACGATGAAGTGTTGACGGAGAGAGTACTTTTGGGGAGGATACAGAAGTTTCTCAAGGAGGAAAAAATTTAATGTGAAGGACGAGGCAGGACCTATTGTGAGGTGAAAAAGTATGAGGACTACTAGCCACGCATTGTGTGTATCACAACAGTCAATTTTTCATTTCCTATGTAGCATTTTATATTGTGGAAAGATGACAGGAAGGATGGGTTGTTGGTGTTTTGGTTCCTCAGGCTTTTTATTAATGACCTGTAGGATTTGTGTTTTTTTCTGTGTTTAACTGCCTCCTATCTGTTGGTGAATTCATCGTGGGTAATGGCCTGTATACCCTTAGAGGTTCAGGATGTATGATGGGTAGCAGGCAGGAAGGGTAGGGCGATGAGCAAGAGCTTGTACAAACTAAAACTACCCCTGGGAGGACTGATATGACAGCTCATTAGCTCTTCTTGCAGGGAAATTCAGCCAACCAGAGCAAGCTCTTCTGGAATGTTGTTTTTTTCCTTCTTCCTTATGTTTTCAAATATTTGAACAAGTTACACAAATGTTACCTCTCTAAGCATTCCTCACACATTTTGTAGGCTTTTTCATATCATTATGAGGTAGGTGAATAATTTGCTTGGCCTTTTATTTTCCAGACAGCTCCTGGGGTACATAAAAGATTTTTCCGGAAAATAAAAAATCTCATTTCAGCATTTCAGAAGCCAGATCAAGGCATTGTAATACCTCTGCAGTATCCAGTTGAGAAGAAGCCCTCTGCTAAAAGTACGCAAGGTACTACAGGTATGGTTTACCACTAATTTTGTATAGAGTTGTATGAGTCAGCCCGTTCATAACCATATAGTTGTAGGAAGTTCTGTAAGAAAAATGAGTTAGAAAGTTGATGTAGGCAGCAAATCAAGGGAGAGAGGTGACTATTTACATGCTGTGATTTCAATATACTATAGTATAAACTTTTAATGATACTTTGGGTGGCACAAACAGTTTGCGCTTGGCTGGTAACCAAAAGGTGGGCGGTTTGAACCCACCCAGCGGCACTGCAGAAGAAAGACCCGGTAATCAGCTTCCATAAAGATTACAGCCAAGAAAACCCTATGGAGCAATTCTACTCTGTAACATATGGGGTCGCCATGAGTTGGAATCAACTCGATGGCATAAGAATACAGTAACATACTATAAACTTTTAATGAAACTTTGCAAAAATACCAAAAATTCTATGTGCCCACAATATTTTATCCCCTCTTGTCCCATCTTGGGGCCCTGGGGGTACAGTGGTTAAGAGCTTGTCAGCTAACCTAAAGGTCGGCAGTTCAAATTCACAAGCTGCTACTTGACGCTGTCCACAAGCTGCTACCTGACACTGTGAGTTGGAATCGACTCGATGGCAACGAGTTTGTTTTTTTTTTCTTTTGTTCCATCTTAAGGAGTGCTGGTGGTGCAGTGGTTAAGTGCTCGACTGCTAACCGAAAGATCGGAGGTTCGAACCCATTAGCCACTCCGCGGGAGAAAGATGTTGCAGTCTGCTTCTGCAAAGATTACAGCCTTGGAAACCCTATGGGGCAGTTCTACTCTGCCCTGTAGGGTCATAAGACTTAGAATTGACACAACAGCAACGGGTGAAATTTGAAAGATGGGATAATTCAGAGAACACCTGGGCTGTCCTTTACGTTTGCGTAGTAAATTCTTTTTCTTCAGGGATGTGAAAGCTAATGTTAGCCTGGCCTCTGTGATCCTGATTTCTGAATTTGTTGTGCTTGAATTAATGAAATTTTATTGTAGCAAAGGATATTAAATTAGTAGACTTTATTATTACACTGGCGTAAATTGTTACCTCTCCTGAACAAAGCTATTTTAGGGTATGCGTCAAGCTAAAGACAGAATACCAGCCAATGTCTGCAGCTATCTGATATATGACTGCTTATTCCTCTACTGAAAGGTGTTAGTCACTTGTTTGGAGTAAGAGGATTGAAATAATAAATATTTATGATAAAAGAAAATAAATTATTATATCCTTTTTGACAGGGACCCTGACTCAGGCATAAACTGACAATTAATTCAAGTGATGAATTAAATTAATGAATAGTTAGCCTTTATAATAGAAATGTAAATAGAATGCTAATTTACAAATTGCTAATTGTTCGTTTCGTCTCATTATTCTATTTTTTTAAATAATTCAATTTTAAATACTAGTTGCTTGAGGTATATGAGTTGTATCATTGTGAGTTTAATGCAGCTGGAAAATTTCTAATTCTAAGCTTGCGTTAAGGAGCCCTGGTGGTGCAATGGTTAAGTGCTTGGCTGCTAACTGAAAGGTCATCGGTTCTAACCCACCAGCTGCTCCATGGGAGAAAAGACCTGTTGATCTCCTCCGGTAATTATTACAGCCCAGGAAACCCTATGGAGCAGTTCTAGCTTGTCATATAGGGTCGCTATGAGCTGGAATCCACTCAGTGGCACACAACAACAAAGTTTGAGTTAACCTTTAATTCTGATAGTTTGTACGTTTATCTTTTCTTGATTTTTAAATTATTTTTCTTTAGGGAGAAGAGAAAACCCTGATGTCTGCCTGAAAGCACCATGAAGAAAAATAAAACATCTTGTACTTTATTTTCAGTAATTTAAATATATACTCAGTCTTGTATATTGTAGATAATACAGTTCAGTGAGCTACAAATGCATTTCTAAAACCATCATAGTCCTGTAGTGGAAGCATCTAGCATGATGTTAAAGCTGAAATGGACTTTGTAGATAATGAGGAGCTTTGAAATGAAGATTGAGGAAAAAAATCCATTGGGTTATTTTCAGTGATTATATTTACAAATGGAAAATAATTTAAAGCATAATGGATACTTTATAAAAGATTAATGTCAACTCTTGCCAAATATAAATAAAAATAATCCTTATTTTTTTGGTCAAAGCCACCATTTTTAGTGAAATATCATTTGATAGCTATTGATTTTAAAAAGTCTTGCTTCATTGTATGGTTAGAAGCTTGTTTGTGTCTTTTCCACGCGTGGTTCTACATTGGGTGTTATGCTCTCCACTAGCTATGGTGTCATAGGCTCTTTTGGGATTTATGAAGCTGTGCGCTGTGTGCTAGAACAAGTACTGGATAAACAGTGAAGAATTACGGTTTAATTCTGAAAGCAACTTCTTGCCGAGTGTTCTGATGTTGGACAATAAAATCTACAGACCAATCTGGAGCTTTGTTGTTGTTGTATGCAGTGGAGTCAGTTCCAACTCATAGTGACCCCATGCGACAGAGTAGAACTGCCCTACAGAGTTTCCTAGGCTGTAATCTTTACAGGAGCAGATCGCCAGGTCATTTTCCCACGAAGCCACTGGGAGAATTTGAACCGCCAACCTTTCAGTTAGCATCCGAGGGCTTAACCAATGCGCCAACAGGGCTCTGGAGCTTTAAATCCCATACTTTAAAATATGCTCTAAAACGTGTATTGTATTTGATGCTACAGGATTGGAAATTATATTACAAATCCAGCGAAGTGGACTTTTCTCCTTTTCATTTACTTCTGAAGGGAAACTTCAGGAGCTTTGGCTCATGAGTAACTGATTTGCAAGCAGTCTCCCTATTAGGTAACCTTACAAGAACATCGAAAAACTTATGATTACATTAATTTTTAATAATTCCAAGTGTCAAAATTTTATGCAGTGATGAGTATTTGCATTTTCTTCTTACGTTTATATTTTCATGACTTTTGTGATTAATTACATGTGAAGTTGCTTCAGGGCTCATAGAATTCATTCACTCAATAGACATAAGAGGCAGTGGTTGTAGAGAAGTAGAATCACCCGGTCCCTGCCCTCAGGTAGCTGACTGTCTAGCTGGACAAGAAAACAATAAAAGAAAATAATAATAAAAGACAAGAAAACAATAGCCCTAAAAGGTGATAAGTGCAGAGATGAGTGAAGTTCCCAGTATGTAGGTAGATCTGCCTTCAGAGGCAGGATGAGTCAACACACATAGTCTGACCCATGGTTTACAGAAAAAGGCTAAGTTTCATTGTAAATGAATAAATTGGAATTCTGGGTTGTACATGAGTGTCAGTGAGCTTGGTTAATATTAGTGAACTGCCGAGAGACAGAACTGCTCTCTTGTGTGCTGGCAAGATCTGATTTCTGAGCTTTTAAAATGGATGTTATGGGAGTCCCTGGGTGGCTCAAATGGTTGAGCACTCGACTACTAGCCTAAAGGTTGGTGATTCGAACCCACCCATAGGTGCATCGGAAGATAGGCCTGGCGATCTGCTTCTGAAAGGTCACAGCCTTGAAAACCCTGCGGAGTAGTTCTGCCCTGCACGTGGGAGTCAGAATCGACTAGACAGCAGCTGCTAACAATATGGGTGTGCAAAGGCCGAGCATGACCACAGCAGTGCATTTTAGGCAGTTTACCATTTCCAGAAGTAAAAGCATCACTTTAACTTGTAAAGGAATTCAGAAAGCTGACTTTCAAAATAACATGCACATGTTGAAATGATTTTTAATTATTTGTAGCTTGAGTTTAAATTTTAATAGATGTGACTAATTTTTACTCTAATTTGTTCATCCTGGAATTATCCTAAATATATGAATTATGTCAGCATGTTCCTTTACCAGAGCCCCCCTCCCTTTTTACAATTTTTTATTGTGCATTAGGTGAAAGTTCACAGAGCAAATTAGTTTCCCATTCCATAGGTGGTACATAAAGTGTTCCATGACATTGGTTGCATTCCCCACAATGTGTCAGCACTCTCCCCATTTCTGTCGTAGTTTCTCCGTTTCTTTTCGTCCTGGTTTCCTACCCCTTCCTGCCTTCTCATCTTTGCTTTTGGGCAAATGTTGCCCTTTTGATCTCATATAATTGATTGTTATAAGCAACATACTCCACTTGAGTTTATTTTATGGGCCTGTCTATCGTTTGGCTGAAAGGTGGTCTCCAGCAGGGATGGATTACCCAATAAGCAAGGTAGGCACGGGCTTCATTGTGCTTACTTACGAATCTGTAGTGCACAATGTCACCTGGATTTGATGTGGTGAAACTCAGGTGACATTGTGCACTACAGATTCGTAAGTAAGCACAGTGAAGCCCGTGTGTACCTTGCTTACTGTAAAGTGGTACATACCGTGCTTACTCGTTATTCTGCCCCTAGCTCCGGGTATGGCTTCAGTTACAGGTCAGAAGGGTGTCTTAGGGCCATAGTCTCGGGGGTTCCTCCAGTCTCTGTCACACCAGTAGGTCTGGCCTTTTTTGAGAATTTGATTTTTTGTTCTGCAGTATTCCTCCTGCTCTGTCTGGGGCCCTCTGTTATCATCCCAGCCAACCAGAGCCCTTTTTGAAAAGATTTTTGCATCATTTAATGGTCTTTCCCATTTTAATAACGTATTTGAAAGTTTTTTTAACCTAATGTGTCTCAGAATAGGCCTTTTAAAAATATTCAGAGGCAGGAACTATTCATATACTAAATTAAGCATCAAGGAAGGCCATCTTACTTATATTATTGAACTGATTCCTTGAAAAAGGTAAGTGCTTTTCCAATTTTGCTACCGTCAAACTTTCTAGTTGATGCGCCTACCCTCTGGCTTCTTTTGCTGGCTTTTTATTCATCAATTCCCCCCCACTCTTTTTTCTTTCCCAACATGAGCATCCTTGCCACTTCCCAGTACATAATAGCTTCAACTTTTATAGAAAGGTCATATCCTTGCCATATCTAAAATATTGCCATGCTCACATATACCTGTAAGATGCTGAGTCAAGGTAGAAAAATGCACGTGTATTTCCAAGCGTACACCACTCTTCAGGAAAAAAAAAATCGTGTCAGCAAGCCCATAAGGAACATGACAGTTTATCAAATACTTGTTCATTTCCTCTGAAATTTGTTCTTAGGAGATAAGGTCAGTAGGGTGACAAGCTTAGGTAACTGTCCGTTTGGCCGTTACGGGCAGGGGACCTTTGTGGTCGTGCAAAGGTAGAATAAGTCTACAGAGAATGCCTCTGATTAAGTCATCCGGGATAAATAAAGGGCTGGACTTAACATATTCCTTGTGGTAGAATGGGGAAAGAATAAAAATGTGAGAATCAGCCTTACAATCTGTTAAGAATGTTTGGACATCAGCTTATATTTTATTTGATTCACTTTATTGACCTCACAATCCAGTCTATTTATAATAAAACACAGCTTTGCCCTTGAGCATGTCAAGGTTACAACATGCCTGGTGTTCCTGTTAGGGTGCTATAAATTCAACTTTGTCACCTGTGTTTGCCCTTGCAGTTAAATGGGATAACATTATGTTGCAGTTTGCAGCTAGAGAGAAGTTAAACTACCAGTTTGGACACTTGCGTAATTTGGGGTCATTGGTCAAACTTGAAGTAAAAGGCTGAATTCCTGTTAGCTTACTTGGCTTGTAAATAAATGTATGAATATAACAAAGATATAACAAACCTGACTGACTGTCTGGATAGAGCCTATCAATATATGGATATCATACACACACACACACACACACACACACACACAGAAATTGGACTGTTATTTCACAAGATGACAAAAGGAGGTACCATGCTCGGCGCAGTGGTTAGGAGCTTGGCTGCTAACCATAAATGTTGGGCAGTTCGAATCCACCAGGCGCTCCTTGGAAACCTTATGGGGAAGTTCTACGCTGTCATATATAGGGTCGCTATGAGTCAGAATCAACTCAATGGCAATGGGTTTTGTTTTGTTTTTATGCTCAGTATTGGACAGAGAGAGTAGAAGTAGAAATGCATGAGACCAGAATTTTCTTTTCAGCTTTGCCACTGATTATCCATGTGACCTTCAATAAGTCAGTGTTTGTTATTGTATTTGCCAAGGAGGAATAATAAAGTCTTCCTCACCTCACAGGATTACCGAGGTACTAGAGTTGCATAACTTTGAGGTAGTAAGATTATTAAATGTTTAAATAGCATTGATATTCAAAGAATTTCTAAAAGTGAGGGTTAATAGGGAAGGAATATGGAAAAATCTCTTATCACTTTTAATAATGCTCTCAATGTAGGAGTAGTTGCCCTTGGTATTTTTATACTCTGAAGGTGGTATTTTGAAAAAAAAAAAAAAATCCCCGGGTGATACTAGTACACCCCTCCCTCAGGTGATACTAATAGGCCTGGTTGTTTTATGCTGATGGGTTGTGCTGAGACACTCAAGGTTGTCTTCCGCTTCATGAATCTTTTTGCTGTATCTGTGTACATATTGGAGTCCTGGTGGCTCAGTGGTTAAGAGCTCGGCTGCTAACCAAAAGGTCGGCAGTTCGAATCCACCAGGCAGACACTCCTTGGAAACCCTGTGAAGCAGTTCTACCCTGTCCTATAGGGTCGCTATGGGTTGGAATCGACTCGATGGCAACGGGTTTGGTTTGGTTTTTGTTTGTGTACATATCAGTGAATAAAAAGGCAGCAGGGCCTTTTGCAGTGATACAAATTCCAGGATTCCAAGCAAGCTTCAGTAACAGGCTGTTTGGACTATATGTGCCCTACTAATAGCAAGTCGAAGATCTGTTGGCCAGCTTCCCCAGGGTCAACTGTAAATGTCTTCTTGTGAAAAATACATGGCAAGTGGCCATTGTAATTGCCCAGGATGTAAGGTCTCACAGAAGCTCTTGTTTTTCAGTCTTTCACGATTGCCTCCCCACATCCATTTTTTCCGATACATTTGGATGCCGCGGTCTCCTAGTTCTCCCCCACCTCTTTTTTGCAATTCTTTCTTTCTCTTGCTGAGAAAGGCACTAAAAGGAGAAATAAGCCATAGCCTAGAGGTATTTAAATTTGCAGCAGCTCCTATTCTTTGTTTATTAAATGGTCATTTGTGTCAGAGATCCTATTTGTATGAAAAATAAAAATGAAGAGATGTCTGTCTAGGATTAGTGCCTTTTTGATGTCTGAACCTACATTTTCAAGATGACTCTGTTTTATTGTTTCCTGTTACGGAGCCACTTTCCATATCTCAGGTGACCAGGCTGACTTGAGAATGCAGTGTGGCGCATGAATAAATTGAGACACAGTGTTCGTTTGCAATTTTATTTTTTAAAAATGAAATATTCAAAGTACTTTTTTCTTTCAAATATCGACACATAATGTTTAAATATTTACAGCATGTTGTTGTGATGCTCTTGTAGAAAAATGCATGCTTCTGGCCTGAAAGCCAGAGCAAAATGCAAAAGACCATTTAACTGCAGCCAGAGAACATGAACCTGTACAGTATCCAGTCACTTTTCAGCACAGGAGTGAGAGCAGAATACAAAATTGGAACCTATTGTTTCCTAGCAACATGGCTCAGGCCATTATAACACAATTTTCAGTATGATTAGAACCTCTAACTGTTGTTATATAGAAACTGAAAATATTGGCATACACTGTAAACATCTTTACTTTTCATGAGAAAGTAAGCAGCTAAAAAGAATATTTTTCTGACATAAAGGCTATACTTCTCTTTTTCTCTTTCTCTCTTACTGATGCTTTTGCCAGAAGAAGAGTAAAGATTTAGACATTGTCATGATTCATACAAGTAAAATATTTTTCAAGGACACAATCTGATATACTAACATTTATTTAAGAGGTTAAAGTCCACCACTAAATCTAAGGAAAGATTTTTTTAACTGCCAAACACGTTTCCTTTGACAAATAATGTAAGATGACAACTGCCAAGACAAAAATCCACAGCAAGTTTAACTCTAAGTATTTTCAGTTACTGTTTAGGAAGTAATTTCTTCTTACACACAGTAATATATTTGGTCCTTAATAGCTTTCATATGAAGGACACACTGACATAACAGTCACTATTTTGTGGTTGAATTCTTTTTTGTTGTTGTTTTTTTCTATTTTTTTTGTTTTGTTTTGTTTTTTTTGTTTTTGTAGAATAAAAATCCTTACAGAAGGCTGTGGAAGAGCAGTCTGAAATCGGAAGTACTAGTCAGGTCAGCTACGTGTGCGTGAGTTCCTCCAAGAAAACAAGAATGTTGCTTCCAATCTGTAGCCTTCTTCTTGGACACTAGCTATAATACACTCCAATTTCTCCAAAAGTTTCTTTCAATACTTGTTACTATACTTTTGCTTCCATTACCACTGAACTCCATTACAATTGCCCTTACCTGAACACATCTTTATAAATACAAAAACTTTGCCCTGACTCTCAGGTGGTATTACAGTAGGGCCTGGTCTGGTTAAAAATATATTTGGAAAAAAAAAAAAAGAGTAGAAATCAAATGATGGAATGCTTGAAACTATATTAATAGTGATGAAAAAGAAAAGCCTTATGAACATTGTAACTTAATTTTATAGCTCTCTGTGTAATTAGCATGTGAATTCCAAATTGTACATTGTCAAGTTTTAATACATTTGGCTATGTTGTGTATAATATATTATATATAGTCTATATATTATAGATCTTCTAGATAAATTGACAGTAAAGGACACACCTAATTTATACATTATTTTGCTGGGTTAAAAATAAAACATATGCTTATCTATATGGCAACTGTTTTTGCTGAAAGATAGTATGAATTGAGTTTTATTTTTCTTTCTTTCAGGAGTCATGCTTCTAATCAGTTATGATTAGAATGACAACTAAAAATAAATGTATTTAAATGTCTGTTAAACTGCGAACTTTTCAGCTCATTTGGGTTTCTAGACTATAGTGCAAGAGTCAAAACAAGAAAGCACAAATAAAATGGGCTGCACTAGCAAAAAGAAACAACCATGGAGACAAGTGTTCTTCACAGGAGAGCCCAACTACTGTGCTCTCACTCTAACTTACTTGAACGGCGTGTGACTATCCAGTGTCAGCCACCTATGCCTTCTGAGTATGACAAATTCATATCTTTCTCATATAAATGCTTTTACTTTCATCAGGAAATGAAAAGGAATGGTTCTT